AGAGGAACCAGGGTGCCATCTTGCAAGATCTGCAGAACCAGGTGGGTATCTTGGCCCGCCAGAACACCACCAGGGCACCGGGGACTTTGCCTGCCACCACTGTTCCGAATCCTCGTGATCCTAACCAGCTCCAGCAGCTTGATGCCATCACTACCAGGAGTGGCAAGACCACATCAGCTGCTCCTGCCCAGCCCAGTCGAGATGAGCCACTACCTGCTTCAACACTTCCAGCTGATACTGCAGAAGTGGGGGAAGACACAACAACGCCTGCTCCCAAGCCACAGCCAGTGGTTAAGGAGCATGTACCTCAGCTTCCTTTCCCCACTCGCCTGCATAAAGACAAGCTGGAGACTGAGTTTGCCAAGTTCATGGCAATGTTGAAGCAGGTCAACATCAGCATGCCGTTCGTGGAGGCACTGTCAAAGATGCCCAAGTATGCCAAGTTCATGAAGGACCTCCTCACCAACAAGAAGAAACTTGGGGATCTTTCGACAGTGATGCTGAGCGAGGAGTGTTCTGCCATCCTGCAGAACAAGCTGCCCGAGAAGCGAAAAGACCCAGGGAGTTTCACTATCCCTCTTGTTATTGGCAGCATGCATGTAGGAAAGTCCTTGGCGGACCTAGGCGCTAGCATAAATGTCATGCCTTATAATTTGTTTAAGAAGCTAGGCCTAGGTGAACCTAGAACTACTAGGATGAGCATTCAGTTAGCTGATCGTTCTATCGTGCATCCTAGGGGTATCATTGAGGACTTGCTTGTTAATGTGGGTGCATTCACATATCCTGTTGACTTTGTTATTTTGGATATAAATGAGGATGTGGATGTACCTTTGATTTTAGGTAGACCGTTTCTCGCCACCGCCAAGGCGCTTATTGATGTGCATAGTGGTAAATTGATTCTGCGTGCTGGTGATGAACAGGCTACCTTTTCTGTGTCTGAGAATGGGAAACACTCTCATTTGCATGATGACATAGATTACTGTGATATGCTTGCTGATTTTGAGACCGCACTCACTATAACGAGTGCAGGTATTGACGATGTTCTTGAGCGTTGTATTTTGCTAGGTGAGCAGGCATCGCAGGAGCCGCAGCTGGCGGAGCAGTTAGCCGAGTTGGAGAGTGGCCCTTTCTTGGAGGGCGACAGGCTGTTCAAACCGATCTCATCCTCTACCCGCATCGCTACTTCCTTGGAGGAACCACCAGAGCTGGAGCTCAAGCCCCTCCCTCTTCATTTGGAGTATGCATTTCTCCGGGAGGGGAATAAGCTGCCAGTCATCATCAGCTCGACCCTCACACCTGAGCAGAAGACCAGACTGGTGACCTTGCTAAAGCGATACGAGCGAGCTCTCGCATGGAAGATCACAGACATCCGGGGGATCAGCCCTTCTTTCTGCTCCCACCGGATACTGATGGAGGATGAGATGCAGCCAGTGAGACAGCCGCAGAGGAGACTGACACCAAACCTGGAGGCTGTGGTTCGGGCAGAGATTGTGAAGCTGCTGGACGCGGGGATCATCTTCGCCATTTCCGAAAGAGAGTGGGTCAGTCCCACCCAGGTGGTACCCAAAAAGGGTGGGATGACTGTGGTGCCTAACGAGAAGAATGAGCTGATCCCGATGCGCACGGTGACTGGGTACCGTGTCTGCATTGATTACCGGCGTCTCAACGACGCCACTCGGAAGGAACACTTCCCGCTATCATTCATTGATCAGATGCTGGAGAGACTGGCGGGGCACGAGTTCTACTGTTTCCTGGATGGGATGTCCGGGTACTTCCAGATCCCTATTGCACTGGAGGACCAGGCGAAGACCACTTTCACCTGCCCCTTCGGCAGCTTTGCTTACCGGAGAATCCCATTCGGGCTATGCAATGCCCCGGCCACTTTTCAGCGATGCATGCTTGCTATCTTTGACCGTCTGGTCGGCGAGATTATGGAAGTGTTTATGGACGACTTCTCGGTTTATGGAGACTCATTCTCTCACTGTCTCCATAACCTGGAGCTTGTCCTTAAACGGTGTGAAGAAACGAACCTGGCACTGATTTGGGAGAAGTATCACTTCATGGTTCGAGAAGGCATAGTTCTTGGGCATAAGATCTCCAAGATGGGGATTGAGGTGGACAGAGCGAAGATCGAGACTATCAGCAAGCTGCCCCCTCCTACATCTGTTAAGGGGATCCGGAGTTTTCTTGGTCATGCAGGGTTCTACAGACGGTTCATCAAGGATTTCTCGAAGATTGCTCTGCCCCTGACTAAGCTTCTAGAGAAGGATGCCCCCTTCCAGTTCACTGATGCATGCACAGCGGCTTTCACGACCTTGAAGGAGAAGCTCACACAAGCTCCTATCATGGTTGTTCCTGACTGGTCCCTGCCATTTGAGATTATGTGCGATGCCAGTGACTTTGCTGTTGGAGCTGTGTTGGGGCAGAGGCGAGATCAGCATTTCCGACCTATCTACTACGCTTCGAAGACCTTGAATGATGCCCAGGAGAACTACACCACCACGGAGAAGGAGCTGCTCGCGGTGGTGTTTGCCTTTGATAAATTTCGTCCTTATCTGGTCTTGTCCCATGTGACCGTGTATACAGATCACTCCGCGATTCGATACTTGATGGGCAAGGCTGATGCCAAGACTAGGCTCATACGATGGATCTTACTGTTGCAGGAGTTTGACATTGAGATTCGGGACAAGAAGGGAGCGGAGAATGTTGCTGCCGATCACCTCTCCCGGTTGGACGCACCCCCTGCGGACAACCTTGAGGAGGAGATCAATGACTCCTTTCCAAATGAGAGACTGATGATGATGTGCCTGGTGGAGAGTGTCACCCCCTGGTATTCTGATTTTGCAAATTATCTTGTGGGCCAGCAGCTACCCAAGGGGATGACAACTCACGCCAAGAGGAAGTTTTTCTCCGACCTGAAGTACTACTTCTGGGATGACCCTCATCTCTTCAGGATCGGAGCCGACGGGATCATCCGTCGATGTGTTATGGAGAGTGAGATGGAGGGCATTCTATCTCACTGTCATGAAGAACCTGCTAGCGAGGAAGGTGCTCCAGTCGGGCTTCTACTGGCCCACGCTATTCAAGGACGCAGACGTCTTCGCACGCAGGTGCGACCGATGCCAGAGGTCAGGTAACATCTCTGCCCGTGATGAGATGCCCCAGAATGTGTTTATTACTTGTGAGATTTTTGATGTCTGGGGTATCGACTTCATGGGCCCCTTCCCTCCATCTTTTGGTAATACATATATCCTTGTTGTTGTTGACTACGTCTCTAGGTGGGCTGAGGCGCAAGCTTTGCCCACTAATGATGCTAGACGTGTTTGTGGTTTTCTGAAGCAGCTAGAGCCATCATAAGCGACCGAGGCACCCATTTCCAGGGTTAGTTCGATAAATTGTTGTCTCGCTATGGTGTAACTCATAAGGTGTCCGTGGCCTACCATCCTCAAACTAGTGGCCAGGCCGAGCTGACGAACCGGGAGCTCAAGCGGATCTTGGAGAAGACGGTGAACCTATCCCGCAAGGATTGGTCCACCAAGCTCGATGATGCTCTGTGGGCATATCGCACTGCCTACAAGACTCCTATTGGTACCTCACCGTACCGGCTTGTCTATGGAAAGGCTTGCCATTTGCCCGTGGAGCTAGAGCACAAGGCCTTCTGGGCCCTTAAGCTGCTAAACTTGGATGTTAGTGTTGCAGGTGTTGAGCGAAAAATGCAGATGTTGGAGCTGGAAGAGTGGCGTTATCACGCCTATGAGAACACCAAGCTGTACAAGGAGCGCACTAAGCGCCTGCACGATGCACGGTTGCGGGGTCCGAAAGAGTTCCAGGTTGGTGATCGAGTTCTCCTTTATAACTCTCGCCTGAAGCTCTTTCCTGGAAAACTCCGGTCCCGGTGGTCTGGACCGTACACGGTCACTCAGGTGTTCCCGTATGGCACGATTGAAATTGCCAACCCGCAAACTGAGTCGTTTAAAGTGAATGGCCATCGTCTCAAGCTTTACCTGGGAGACGAGGTCGAACGTGCGGAGTTGGCAGTGGAGCTCGCGGACCCTTAGTTCCGCAATTGGCGTCCAGCTAAAAGACGGTAAGGAAGCGCTTGTGGGGAGGCAACCCCACCACGGTTTGCATTTCTACCTTTGTTTTTATTTATTTATTTCATCTTTGTCGGTTTTTGAGTCTTTGAGTCTATCTGGAGTCAATCTGGAAAGTTTTTCGTGCCTCGGGCGGTTCTTTTTGATGTGTGATTGGGTAAAGTTTAGAGCCGGGGCACGAATGAGTCTTGGTGGTTTGAGATTGAAAATTGAAAAAAGGCATTTTAGGCTCGGCAGTAAAAACACGGGCAGCAGGGGACCAAAACACGGCCGTGTTTTGCCCTGTCCCGCCCGTGTTTTGCTTTTTGCTCTCGGCATAAAAAGCACGGGCACTGGGCTCTGAAAACACGGCCGTGTTCAGATCAGTTTTTTTTTCAAATTCCTCAGCCCCCTCTCGCCGGAAAATCACCCCTTTCACCTTCTCCTTCGATTTTCCGGCCATAACTTCCTCTCCCGACCTCCAAATCACAAACCGCGAGCGCCCCCACGCTCCTGGCGTCGAGGAGCACATTCCCCAAAGATTTGGGCTGGTTTGGCTGAGGTTGGGTCGCCGGCGGTGAGTGTTCCGGCGAGTCTCCGGTGTGTTTTCCGGCGACTTTGGGTGCTTCTTTCCACTTTCTTCACCTCTCTCGTGGTCTCTTCTTGCGTCTCCAGGTGTGTTCTCCTTGTCTTTTCCTATATTTATGGAGAATCGATACCTAGAGTTAGGTGAAGAACTTTTGATTGTGGAATGCATGGTTTGGGAATATTTTGGGTTTGGGGGATGATTGGGCTGATTGCATGTTGAATGGTCTGCGTGATATGTGATTTTTCTGTGATGCCTCGATTGGTGCTATTTAGGACAGTTGTGGTATACTTGTTTCACCAGGGGTCTAGTCCACTGTCCGAATCGCTCGATTTGAGGGTCCCCAGTGTATTTTGATGTGTAAATCTCGTATGATGGGTATGTTTGTGTCGCCGGGAGTCTAGTCCACTGTCCATATCTTTCGATATGAGGGCTCCATGTGTGGTTTTGGCCTAACATTGACCCCGTTTGCTTGTGTACACTTTGTCCTTCATTATGTTTTGTAGGATCATGGAGGTTTATCTCGACCAGATGAACATCGTCCAGTGCCATAAGCTGCAGAACCTCCGTGACCGCAGCATCACCGAGCACTTTCACCTCGATTGGGAGGTGTTCGAGGAGCTTCATGCCAGGCCACAGATGGAGGCCGCGGTCCGCTCCCCTGCTTGGCGGCGTCTTCTCACCCTTGCCGAGGCGACCTACAAGGAGCTAGTCTGGGAGTTCTACGCCACCTTCCACCACAACTCGAAGGGGAACTCCGACCATGCTGATGCAGTTCAGTTCACCCTCGGTGAGGTGGAGCACTCCCTCAATTACTGGGAGTTCGCCAATGCACTTCGTCTTAATTCTCGGGCAGCGGGCGGACCTCCCTTACGCTTGGACCTCTCCGATCCCACCGACTTCGCTTGCCAGGCGTACTTTCAGAGCATTTGCCTGCCGGACAGTGTGGATGAAGAGTACGTGGCCAGCCAGACGCGGGCTGCTCTCCTCCGTCCGGAGTGGCGGATCCTCAACCACCTGATGTGCATTTCTTACACACCCAGCCAGGGCTCGTCCAACCGGGTCACACTCCGGACTCTCTGGTTGTTGCATGCGATGGGTCGTTCTGAGGACACCATCCAGCTGGGCTCTGTGCTTGCCCGGACGTTCACTAAGGTAGCCATCAGCACGACTCGTAGCCTCGTTTGTGGCCCGGTGATCACCGCCTTGGCCCGCAACTACGGGGTGGACTACACAGGGATGACATTGGTCCGCGGACCAACCCCACTCGGCGAGCCTACTCTCCGCCACCAGCACTTGGTTGCTCGCCTCAGGCGTGTGCGCTGGATCGCGGGCCTTCCTCAGCCACCTATACCTGCCGAGGGCGACCAGGCCGAGTCGAGCGCCGCTGGTGGGCGCCGAGTTCCCCGTCGCGTTCCCCGTCGTGCCCAGGCTCCAGCGAGCCCCTCTCCTGCTCCCCGGTCTCCTTCTCCAGGGTCCCCTCCTCCAGTGGTGGTGCCCATCTCCGCCCAGTTGGCGGCAATCACGCAGCAGAATGAGCGCATCCTGGCTGGCCAGGAGCGCATCCACACCCGCCTTGATCGTGAGCGGGACCGAGGGCGTCGTCTCATGTCGGGGCAGCACTACATCATGTCCTACTTGGGCTTGGACCCGAACGCGGTCCACTACCCGTTCGTGCAGTCCCTAGGGTTTGAGGATGAGTACCCTCCACCCACCGGCGATGGCGGTGATGCCTTCTAGAGCGGGTTTTGTGCTTTATTTGTGTTCCAGACTGAGACTCCGTGTTTTGTGATTTTGTTTTGCTTTGTTTTGTTTTGTTTTGTTTTGTTTTTTTTATCTTGGATTGTAGACTTGGTACTCTGATTCCTATCACCCAGTGTGTGTGTTTTTGTTGTCTCTAGCTCTGTGCCTCCTTCTTTTGACTGGTCCGCCATCCAGTCAACGTTCCTGATCACTGTTTCACGGTAACATCGTTCCCCTTCCCTCTGCTCCATTGAGGACATTGTCGCGATTAAGTGTGGGGGGGTTCTTTGTATGAATTGAAACGTATATATGTGTGCTTGGAGCCTAGTCCACTGTCCAAATCTTGAGATTTGAGGGCTCCAAGCATGGCTGTTTGCTTGATGATTGATCGTATTGGCACTGTGGATGTGATTAGTGAATTGAATGGCTTTTGACTTGATACATGACAACTTGAGTGTGACTTAGACAACTTATTGTGATGACTGAGATGTGCAGTAGAATTGTGTAGGGGTTCAGTTTTTCAACTGTCTACTCACCAAATGTGACTTGGTTTGATCACTTGCCTTTGATAGTCATTTATGCATCTAGTTCAGGGAATCAGAACGAGAGATAGAGCATATAGGTAGCCATGTGAGATTTGAGCCTGCTCGTTTCTTTCTTGTGCGATAGTTTCCTCTTCCATGATGTGCAGCATTCACGTTGTCATTAGCTAAGATGATGGAGGCATAGGATTAGCCCACGACCAAATTGACTGTCCTGGTGTGTCATACCCCTAGTCAGCCCCTTTGAGCCGTGTGTTTTCTTTCTTTCGGTCTTCAATGAAAAGTCACCCTTTTGCATCTTTTAGAAGGTTCCACAGAGTGATTTTTACATGTTCTCTGCTGTTTCTGCTAAATGTAATGTGAGGGTTGGAGGTAGTGCTTAAAAGTTGGGCAGGTATTTGAAAATGTGCAGAGGCGGTGGTTCTCTTATGAAATGAAAAATAATGAAAGAAATTCAAAGAAAAAATGAAAGCAAAAGAGAGCCACCACCAAAAATCTGAATAATGCCCATGTAGTAGTGTTTCTTAGCAGTCTGGCTTAGAAATACTAGCATTTATGTAACCTCCTTCGCTCATGTGCTCTGAACTTGAGTAATGCAGAATGGCAGAAAGAAAGTTATTGGGTTGATGGATTGTGAGTCTGTTGGGTTTGGAAATGTGGAACCTTGTGCTGTATGAATACTTCCACCACCTAAAAGGCCTTTTCCCCATGTCCAAGACCCTAGCCAGTCATCTGAACCTGTGTCTAAGACCTCCGGATTAGTTAGTGATGAAACCCCATATGTGAACTATAGCACTTAGAGGCTGCATTCATGATGAAGAGATGTTAGGGATTGAGAGACTAAGCATGTGCATTTTTCGCATCATATTGTCCTGACCCCACTGGTCGAGAGTGAGCGATTCATTTTCTCTTATTCTCTATACTCTTTATCCCGGTGAGGACCTAGATTGCTCGGTCTTAATTCTGATATCTTGAACTTTGTGCATGATGTGACTGTTTTGAACAAGTGGTTGAGTCGAGTCTATGTTGGTTGGTGAACAGAAGGGAGACTCTTCCTTTGCTCGGTTTTACTGCATTCGAATGTCATCTGTGGTGGTTGTCTAGGTTGTCATTGAAGTTGTCCAGGTGTTACTGATCGAAAGCCAGTATGATCCACGTGTTTTGTGCCGACATGTCATGCCTTGTTGTTGAGCTTACCTTGTGTCTGACTTGGTTTTCTTGGGGACAAGCAAACGGTTAAGTGTGGGGGAATTTGATAACGATGTAATTGCACATATTTGCGCCCCTAGTTCTTATCCGTTTGAGAGGCATAGTCGTGTATTTTGGCCTATTTTACGCCGGGTTTTGCTATTTTGTCATATTTCAAGTCCCAGGCGTCAAAGGAAAGGCTAAGCACGAGTTTCGGGGCATTCGGAAGTCATTTCGTCGAGCTGGAGCCAGAACACGGGCACGCCTAAAACAGAACACGGCCGTGTTCTGTGGCCGTGTTTTTACTGCCGAGAGCAAATTCGAGTTTGGCAAACATTGGCTAAAAACACGGGCAGGGCTTAGAGAAAGCACGGCCGTGGCCACCAAAGCACGGCCGTGTCCATCATGAAACACGCCCGTGTTTCCCCCAATGCACTGGCCGTGTAATTAACCCTAGCCAAAGCACGGGCGGGCTGAGGCATTACACGGCCGTGCCCTCGACCGTGCTTTGGCCACTGATGCCCTTTTTAAGCAGATTTTCAGCCAAAGAGAAGGGGATTCGAGTTTTAGAGAGACAGAACGATTCCTAGAGAGAGAAAGCGACGAACAAGAGTCTCCAAGTGCCCTAGCTTGATCTTCAACACCATTGGAGGCCAGTTTGAGCTTGGAGAAGTGCCGATCAACGTCCAGGAGCAGGAATCCATCCTTCACAGTATGAATTCCGCGTCTGATTCTGCTTTTGCTTCTTTCTCCATGGAGTAGTTCTCCCATTCATCTAGGTATGGAGAACCCTAGATTTGTATGTTAGGCTTTGATTTTATGAACCCAAGTACTGATTCTATGATTTGATTATATTCGATTGAGGTTTTAATGATTGAATGACTTGAATCCTGATCAAATTCCTGTTGTTTCTGCTTTAACCTAGAATGAGAATATCTGCCTAGGTTGATAGAGCATCCTTGATTGAAGGTAGGGAGTTGGTGACTTTAGTCGAGGAGCCAACTCACTATTCTGTACCGGATTTACTCCGGTAGTGGAGGTTTTGTTTGTTAAGGCCTCAATCTGTTTACTCCGGTGGAGGTTAGTTTCCTGCTAGAGACTCAGATTGAGAGGGTCTGAAGACCTTTAGTCGAGACTTCAGGCTGTTTAAGAACCTTCCGCAGTATAACTATCATAGAAACTGAACTTGGTAATTACAATCCGGCTTAACTGCAGTCTAGGGGGAACCATATCCGGGTGACCTCTCTTAACCTGAATACAACTGTTTACTTGCTTTGCTAGTTTGTTAGTTTAGACTTGCATTAAAGTTTCATTGCTAGATAACAAGAATTCACTAAGTAGTCATCAAATCTAGGATCCGGGTTGATAATTGAACCTAAACCCGCTATACTACGCTTTATGAAGTGGTTTCACTTGGCCAATTCCTGGAGTGACAGTAGAAGTGAGTCAATGACGGTGGACATGCTTGATAATCATGGAGGTATGGTTGATAGGCATGGAGAGGTGGTTGTTCTTCCTACCCGGATCCTTGGCTAGTACCACTACTAGAAGCTTCAAGACAATACCAATTCGGCCTTTGGCGATCTCCCCACTTCTCGTACCAACCATATGGATCCCTAGAAACAAAAACAACTAATGACAACACAAGTGTAAAAAGAAAAGAAAACATAAAGTGAACAAACACTTAACACAAGATAACTAAAGGGAACATAACAAAAGAAAGAAGAATATGATAGACCGTTAATTACACATGTTTTTACCCCTGTTCTTACACCGTTTGAGATGTGATTTCTCGTGTTTTAGGCCGATTTCACGCTAGGTTGTGCTTGTTTGTGATATTTCAGGTCCTAGTACGTGAATGGAGGCTTGGGAGCGAGTTTGGGATCGATTGGACGAAGATCGGGCGCAAGGCAAGTCGCAAAGGAGGCCACACGGGCACACCCACAACTCACACGGCCGTGCAGGTGGTCACTTTGGCCGTGTGAGATTGTGCGAGAGCAAACATGGCTTGCCCTGATTTTCACACGGCCGTGTGAAGGAGTGGCTTGGCCGTGCGAGTTTTGCCGAGAGCAAACACGGGCAGATGGAAATCGCACACGGCCGTGCGACCCTGGCCGTGTGAGAAGCCTGAAGATCGAACTAATTGGAACGCAGCGTTTTGACTCACACGGGCAACTGGGTATGCCACACGGCCGTGTGGCCCAGCCCGTGTGAGTCGGGATTTCCTGGTTTTAACCCAATTCCGGGCTGCAAGAGAGAGAATCGGACTTTTTGAGCAAAAACAGAGCCCTAGAGGGAGAAAGGACGAAGAACACATCCTAGAAGCTATCTTGGAGCTGGATTTCATCAAATCAAGCTTGGAGATCGTCATAGGAGTGGAAATCATCATCCCAGAGCAGATTCTTCCCATAAGTATGAGTATGATTGCTTTGTATCTTGTTTTCCTCTCTCTCTCTATGGAGTAGAACCCCTCTCTCACTTGGGGATGAAGAACCCTAGTTCTATGTGTTAGGGATTGATTGTAATGACTTGGGATGATATTACTGTTTGGTTTTAATCGAATGATGCATGTTTATTGAGTCAATTGAAGTCTGATTAACTTTTCCTGATTCCTGCTGCAATCTGAGATAGATAGAATCTGATTAGGTTGCTAGAGTCTCATCATTCGATAGTAGGAGATTGGCTATACGAGAGTTAGCCAGTTGACTGCTTTGTACTGGAATCCAATTCCAGTAGTGGAGTTCTGTTCTTACTGCTTCAGCTTTCTATCCCGGTGAAGACTAGTCGTCTGCCGGGTAGATAGACTGAGAGGGCTTGGTCAGCTTAAGAGATTCCAAGCTACTGTCGGATCTTCCGTAGTCTAATCAACAGGAAATCAACCCAGGGAAATACAATTGAAACTTAACTAAGGAGCTAGGGGGACTCATTCCCGAGTGACTCTTACCTGCTTGAGAAAACCGTATAAATTCCTGCTTTCTTTCTGCTTTTGCTTTTAAACAACAATCACTTGCTTTAGTTGGCTAGATACCAGAGAATCACTGAGTAAGCAGTAGATCTAGACCCCGGGTTGATAATATAACTTGCCTGTTACTGCATTCCCGGTCTGCGATTACACTTGGTCGCAGATTGGTGTTGTGTTTTGGCGTGTCAAGTTTTTGGCGCCATTGCCGGGGACCCTCTAGGTTATTGGGGAAACGTGAGAATTTGTTACTCTAGCTTTTTATTTCCTGCATTTTATCTCTTCCACCTGTGTGCCTTCACGGGTTGCTTCTGCTGATTGTGTGCAGGTAGTGCATGACCCGTAGCCAGTCGGGAGATCTACTACCACTAGACCAGGAGCTTGAACGAACCTGCAGAAACTTCAAGCGGGCTCTAAAGGCGCGACTGGCTGCGGAGGAGGCGCTATCACAACTGCAGTTAGAAGAAGAGGAAGAAGAGATGGCTGATCCACAGGGCCATGCTGTGATCGATCTCGAGGAGCAGACCATGGGACATTACTGGACCGCCAGGGCTGCAGACATGAGGTCACCTATTCAACACCCTTCCCAGCCAATAATTTTGAGGTGAGCACCTCAGTAATCACCATGCTGCGCGGTTCGGTGATGTTCCGTGGCAAACAGGGGGAGTGCCCCCGATCACATCTCAGGCGATTCCACGAGCTCATTGATGGAATCAAGATCAATGGGGTACCAGCAGATGCCATCCAGCTGAGGTACTTCCCATTCACCCTGGAGGGGCAGGCCAAGGAGTGGCTAGACACTCGACCTCCAGGCTCCATCACCACGTTCGCTAACCTGGCGGACAAGTTCCTTACCCGCTACCATCCTCCGTCGAAGACGGCGGACTTGCAGAAGCAGATCACCCACTTCACCCAGGATGAAGATGAGACCATCAAGGATGCTTGGGAGAGATACACCAGTCTTTTCCTCAGGTGTCCAAATCATGGTTTCAATGATGCGTTCAAGGTGGGCACCTTCTATCACGCCCTCTTCCCGGAGGACAAGCAGCTGATTGATTCGGTTTGTGGCGGGAACATGCTGACCAAAACACCGCCACAGCTGAATCAACTCTTTGAGGAGATGGCGGAGAACGGGTACGATTGGGGCA